CTGCCAAATTGCAGTACTGCACTCTAACCACTGTGCCACTGAGATAGATAGATAGATAGATAGATAGATAGATAGATAGATAGATAGGAGCTCACCTCTCTTCCTTTTCAAACTTCACATGTTCTGCCACTCTGCCCTATAGGTAATCATCAATTTCCCCGACCCTTCACAGAAGAGTGACATTGTACAGTTGCGTGGGCCCAAAAACGAGGTGGAGAAATGTGCGAAGTACCTACAAAAAGTCATTGCAGAATTGGTGAGTCTAGTTGGCTGAGCTTCCAGAAAACCATTTTAGAGTCCTTTATGCCAGTGGTCCCCAACCACCGGGCCCCAGACCAGTACCGGTCTGTGGATCATTTTCTACCGGGCCGCCGGTTTGCTGGGCGCCGCCATCTTGTTTCGACAAGAAAGTGCTTCCGGGTGAGCTTTTCCGGTTGGAAAGCGGCGTTTGGGTGCTGAAGGAATCCTCGCGCCTTAGTTTCATCGAAGCGGGGGGGGGCGGCTTTGAACGAAGAGCCGTCCCGATGGCGGAGGAGATTAAGAAAGCACAAAAAAGCACAAAAAAGGTACAAAGGAGGAGTTGAAGGTGGCGGGGTGAAGCGGGGGACGGCTGGCTGGCCGGTCACTCGGCTCGCCTTGCCTTGGTCCTGCGTGCTGATGCCGGTACCGGGCCGTGGATCATTTTGTGATGCTGGTACCGAGCCGTGGCACAAAAAAGGTTGGGGGCCACTGCTTTATGCCATTGGGGTTATTAAAAAGAAAGGCTTCCTCTCCTTTTCAGTCATTGGGGCATAGAGAGGAGATACCATCTGATCTTTTCTGGATAGTTGGGGCTCTGCAATTCTGCTCTGTGTGGTGAACTACCACAGCACATATTCCTTGCAATGGTTATAATTGCAGTGAGGAATGACAATATGTATCAGGTGTGAAATAGCAAGTCCACACTTGAAGGTCCATTTAAACTGATTTATTGCCAAAAACCCATGCATAGGAATTTTCTCAACTAATGGACAACATCAGCTTGGAGTTAGATATGGATCAACAGAATTGGACTTAGTCCACTTGTGGCTATATAGGGATTCTAGGCTGATTCCTCTTTTGACTCTGCCCCCAGATTCTGCCACTCCTTCTCCTCAAATATGTAGTGCTGAAGCTCTCTTCCTGTGATGTTAGGTGGCTAGCATACCTCTATACCAGGGATGTCAAATTTGCGTTGTCACATTGTCATCACGTGACATATCGCAACATTTTTCCTGTTCGGTAAAATGGGAATGGGCGTGGCCAGCACATGACGCATCCAGCCCGTGGGCTACGAGTTTGACACCCGTGCTTTATTCCTACAGCAGAGGGGTCAAATTCGATTTCATTAAGGGTTCATCAGGGTTGTGTTTGACCTTGGAGGCCAGGGTGAGCGTGACTGGGATGGGTGTGGCCAGCATGATGTCACTTGTGTTAGGGGGCACCTGTGGTGGCCTGAGCGCTCTGCCAGCGAAAATGGGCTCCCAAGCTTTGTTTTTGGCTGCAACGGCCTCCTGCAACCCTCTGCCAGCAAAAAGGGAGCTTGAGGGAGCTCTATTTTTACTGGCAGAGGCACCCCAGGCCAGTCCTTTGCTGTTTCCATGGCGGCCCTGCGAGCCATATCTAAACACCCCACAGGCTGGATCCAGGCCCCGGGCCTTGAGTTTGACACCCCTGCCATGGAGTCTGAGCAAGTCAGAGGCTGGGCTACAAGGCCAGATACCTTAACAGAGGTGCAAACAGAATCTGCAAAGACGAAGTCAGGTTAGCAAAGGCTCAGAACGAACAAAGACTTGCAACAAAAGTCAGAGATAATAAAAAAAGTTTTTTCCAACATATAAATAACAAGGAAAAAATCAAGGAAACAGTCAGTCCACTAAAGAGAGAAGATGGCAAGGAAGTAACAGGCAACAGAGAGAAAGCGGAACTGCTTAACTCATTCTTTGCATCTGTCTTCACGCAAAAAGAAACTATAGCTCAACCCACCAAAAACATAACTGTAAAAGACAGACCAGAAATAAAAGTTAAAATAAGCAAAAAAAATAGTAAGAGAACACCTGTCTGATTTTGATGAAAACAAATCACCGGGGCCTGATGGATTACATCCCAGAGTTTTAAAGGAGCTGGCAGAGGTCATCTCAGAACCACTGCACCATATCTTTCAAAAATCCTGGAGCACCGGGGAACTACCAGAAGACTGGAAAAGAGCTCATGTGGTTCCCATCTTCAAAAAAGGGGAAAAAAACAGACCCAGGAAACTATAGACCAATCAGCCTAACATCAATACTCGGAAGATACTGGAAAAGATAATAAAAAAACAGATCTGCCAACATCTAGAAACAAGTAAAGTAATAACTAGCAGTCAGCATGGGTTTGTTAAGAACAGATCATGCCAAACCAATCTTATTTCATTCTTCAACACAGTGACTAAATTAGTAGACCAGCAAAATACTGTGGACATAATATATTTAGATTTCAGCAAAGCATTCGACAAAGTAGACCACAACCTACTTCTTAGTAAGCTAGAAAAAGGTGGAATAGATAGCACCACCAACGAGTAGTCCTTAATGGGTCTAAGTCTACATGGAGGGAAGTAAATAGTGGGGTGCCACAAGGTTCTGTCTTAGGCCCAGTATTCTTCAATATCTTCATTAACAACTTAGATGAGGGAATAGAAGAGGAACTTACCAAATTTGCAGATGATACTAAGCTGGCAGGAATAGCTAACACCCAAGAAGATAGACTCAAGATCCAGGTGGATCTTGACAGACTAGAACACTGGGCCATATCTAACAAAATGAAATTCAATGTAGAGAAAAGTAAAATCCTACACTTAGGCAAGAAAAACCAAAAGTACACATACAGACTGGGTGAAACCAGGCTCAATAGCAGTAAATGTGAGAGGGATCTTGGAGTCTTATTGGACAACCAGCTAAATATGAGCCAGCAGTATGCAGCAGCAGCCATAAAAGCTCATGCAATCCTAAGTTGTATTAACAGAGGGATACAGTCAAGATCAAGGGAAGTACTAAAAGAAGAAGGTGAGTAGAGCAGGAAGTGAAATCTCTCGCTTATTAACACCCTTCCTTTTCTGTGCCTTAGATCGAAAACAGTTTTTCCATCCCGGTTCCCATTTTCAAGCAATTCCACAAGAACATCATTGGGAAAGGAGGCACCAATATCAAAAAGGTAAAAGGAGGAGGGTCTCCCCACCTTTCTTCTTTGTGCATGTATGTGCACATGTTGGTACATGTCTCTTTTTATGGAAAGGGTCAGTGGGTCAAGGATTTAAGCCTAGGTGTATAAGTCTAGAAGGTTATGCTGCAGCTTTATATACATTAGAGTACTCACAAGTCACACTGGATTCCAAAACTGTTGTGATTGACAGACCCTTGGAGTTGGAGATTCTGAGATTCTCCCCCTACTTGGGGCTCTAAATAGAGGAAGTCAACGCCCATTGAGCATATGTGGTCCACGTAGGTTCCTGACACAGTCCTATCACCTTGGAGGAACCCCTTCCACCCATCATCTCTGAGGGCAGTTCCTTGTAGAGCTCATGAGGGTAATCTAGACTCGAAGCTCTGGGGTTTGATGTTGTCTCTTCACAATAGATTCGAGAGGAAACCAATACCAAGATTGACCTCCCTACAGAAAACAGCAATTCTGAAGTGATCCTGATCACCGGGAAGAAGGCCAATTGTGAGGATGCTCGGGATCGTATCTTGGCCATCCAGAGAGAGCTGGTGGGTGTGTGAATCATTTTCCTCCTCCTTCTTCTCTTCCTCCTCCTCTTTAGCACTCTGAATGTGCTGCTAACACATCATCAGGGTTGGTGTAGAGAGCTTAATTCAGTCTGTTACACCAACAGTTTCATTTCAGGTTTTCAGCAAATCGCGTGATCACCGAACCAGTTGTTAAACCTGGAGAATCCCTGTTTTTAATCCTGTTAGTACCACATCAACTTATACTTGCACCTTATAGAATAAAGTAGAGTAGAAGAATAAAATAGTATCTGGATAGAATAGAATAGAACAGAATAGAACAGAACAGAACAGAACAGAACAGAACAGAACAGAATAGAATAGAATAGAATAGAATAGAATAGAATAGAATAGAATACTTTATTGGCCAAGTTTGATTAGAGATACAAGGAATTTGTTTCCGGTGTGTAAGCTCTCAATGTACATACAACAATTGTGATACCATTAACATATTGTAAAATACATTCATCATAAAATATTAGGTATAACATTTAGTGATAATCATGGATACCAAATAAGCAATCAACATAAATCACACAAAGTGAACGATATGAATTGTAAGATACAAGCAACAAAGTTATAGTCATAAGAAGATAAGGAGATGGGTAATAGGGAAGATAAATAAAAGTATTTGAATCCTTCCACCTTTTTTTCTGTTTGGGAATTTTTAAACCCAAACGTTTTATTTTTTATTTTACTTACATTTACTGCTGAGCCTCTCACCAAAAGGTATCTGTCTCCTGTTGGAATAAGGAACAGAAATCTGTGGGGTCTTTGATGCTCTCTGAGCTTGGTGGTTTTCTTGCAGGTGTTTCATTATCAAACTAGGGAATGTCACAACACTGATGATGTTACCTACCTTGGTAATGAAACATCTCAGAAAACCTCCCAAGCTCAGAGAAACACCAAGGATCTCACAGCTTAACGCTGAGCTACCAATATTCTCTCCTGTCAGAAGAGAAATCAGACATGATGAATTCTGCAGAGGCAAGATTGTTTATTTGTTTTGAACTTGGATGTTGTAGCTTTTTATCTTCTTGCCCTCAGGCTAACATCAGGGAAATGGATATCTCCATCCCAGCCAAACTGCACAATTCGCTGATCGGAGCCAAGGGGCGGCTGGTGCGTTCAATCATGGAGGAATGCGGCGGGGTGCACATTCATTTCCCTTCTGAAGGCTCGGGCAGCGAGAAAGTCACCATCCGAGGCCCTGGGGAAGAGGTGGAAAGAGCGAAGCGCCAGTTGCTGCATCTCGCTGAGGAAAAAGTAGGTGGTTGGTAGAGGTCCATCCCCAGTTTGGTGGTTTGCAGAGCAGATTAACAGATAGACAGAGTTGGAAGGGACCTTGTAGGTCATCTAGTCCAACCCTCTGCCCAAGCAAGAGACCATGCACCATTTCTGACAAATCCAATCCCTTCTTGAAAGCCTCCAGTGATGAAGCTCCCACAACTTCCGAAGGCAAGTGGTTCCATTGGTTGGTTGATCTCAGTTTCTCAAAGAAAGAACAGCTCTAAAGAGCCTGAACAGTAAGGATGTGGACTCGCCTTGAATTAACCATTAACCAATTACTGTTAATTAGGTATAATCAGAAAATAGTCAGGTATTTAGGGTATCAAGGAAAGGAGAGACACCATAAAGCCGGGTTGGGGAACTATGGCAACTTTACAATCTGTGGACTTCAACTCCCAGAATTCCTGACCCAGCAGAGCTGCCTCAGGAATTCTAGGAGTTGAAGTCCACAAATTGTAAAGTTACCATAGTTGCCCATCCCTACCATAGAATTTTTCTCCTTAGCTCTCATGCCCTTCCTTAACTCTTTCATTGCCACACTCAACTTCAGGTTTTAATTAATATTTGCAGGACTCTGTCCTTTCTGGTAGTCGACATTAAATCTACATTTTTTTTCTGAAGCGTTCTGGCCAAAGATATGAAAATTTAGCTTTTCTTTCTATGTAGACCTCATTTTTTTTTCTACTTAAACATTGTTTTGTGTTTTTCCTTGTAAAAAAGAACCTGGAATTGGAGCACAGATCACCTACATGTATAAAATTTTAATTCTATTCAAGGCTAGGAATAGGTAGCTAAGTGATATTTTGGAATACAGACTCCATTTTCCATATGTGCCATGGAGAAACAAATATTGGCAGTAAGAACTGAACTTTATCTTGAGTACATACAGTCCTCGACTTATGATGACAAGTGGAACCAGAATTTCCATTGCTAAGCAAGGCAGTTGTTAAGTGAGTTGCACCCGATTTTACAACTTCTTTTGCCATGGCTGTTAAACAGATCACTTCAGACCATGAATCACATGGTAGTTCACTGAATCCAGCTTCTCCTGCTGACTTCGCCTGTTAGAAGTCAGCTGGCAAATGGCGACCACCTGACCCTGTGACATCGCAATTGTCATAAATATATAGGAGATGACTAGGCTGAGCCTGAGGGAGGGATCAAATGCATCTATAAGTCACGAGTCCCTGCACGCCTGCAAGCGATTTATGTCCAGCCTATCTTGAATGCCTTTCTTATCTCCTGCTAATTTGCCTTGGCGGTTAGTAGCTCAGATTCTTATAGAGCACTTAAGCTTGCGGTAAATCTTTACACTCACTTGAACTGCCTGAATCTCCTGTTTTGCCCGGAACTTGGCAAAATACATGCTAAGCACCCAAATTTTGATTGTGCGACCATGGGAATAGTGCCATGGTGTAAGAGTGAAGATTAGATACAGTGGAACCTCTGATCGGGAACGCTTTCATTCGTGACCAAATTGGGTGACAAACAAAAGTTCTTACCTCTGGTTGTGAACAGGTACTCGGGTGGTGACCAAAGGCCGGTGATTTGCCCATCCATGTCGATTTCCCTTTCTGCACCACGCCATTTTTGTTTTTACATGCATGCATTTCCGGGGACAAGCAAATCGGGTGACGATCGAATTCTCAGAATGGATTACGGTCATCACCTGAGGTTCCACTGTATAACTCACTTTTTTCAGTGCGGTTATAACTTCAGGTGGTGGAAGGCAAGAATCACTCGTCCTACTTGAGCCTTTTGGAGAATCGATGCATGCCCCTGTTTTCTTCCTGCAGCAAATCAACAATCACTCAGTGGAATTGCACGCCAAGCCAGATTACCACAAGTTCCTGATTGGGCGTGGAGGTGCTAATATCCGCAAAGTGAGGGACCGTACCGGTGCCCGGATCATCTTCCCCACTCCTGAGGATAAGGACCAGGATATTATCACTATCATGGGGAAGGAGGATGCAGTACGGCAGGCCCAGCAAGAACTGGAGAGTCTCATCCATAACTTGGTACGGGTCGTACAGCTTTGGCAGGGGTCTCCATGGTTGGCAACTTTAAGACTTGTGGACTTCAGCTCCCAGAATTCCTCTGAAGAATTCAGGGAATGGGAACACTTGCCACACCCAATTTGCTGCGACCAACTCGCTGCAGCCAACTCACCATGGCCAATTCGCCACAGCCAACTTGCAATGGGAGAACTCGCCACAGCCAACTCTCTGCAAGACAACTCTTTGTGGGACAATTTAACAGTTCTATTTAATTATTTAAAACTAGCTGTAACCTGGCGTTGCCATTATTTATCCTAATTCTATATTAGAAAAAGCCCTGATTTCTCAACCTGGAATAAACATAATTTCTAATGTTGGATTTTCCCGGTTGCCAGAGAGAGCCCCCTTGTGGAGTACTGTGAAGTTGTTACCATAGCAACTCCACAGCGCTATACAGTAGAAGCCATTTTAAGGCAGTATGGTAGAATCCTTTTGAAGGCACAACAGGCTGTATCTTAACAGAACACACAAATTAGGGGTGTCTTAGCACCACAGTATTTGTTTCCAGACAGTAGGTAATCTGTTACCAAGTTTGGTTGAAATTGCTTGAGGCGTTTCAGAGTTTTGCTGGAATACACACACACACACACACCCACACCCATTTTCATATATTATAGATAAATAAATAAAAAATATTTTAATTTTTGCCATTCACGTGTCATTCTGTCCTTCCTTTTGCATCCTTTAATGACTCTATTCCAACATATATTTGATATCAATGTAACTCTTGTCCTGCAATGAGTTGTCCTGCGGTGAGATGGCTGTGGTGAGTTGGCTGTGGTGAGTTGGCTGTGGGAAGTTGGTCATGGCAAGCTGGCTGCATCGAATTGTCATAGACCTGATGGTGTTATGAGCTCATCACACCATTGCTATGACTTCTTTCATGTAGGTTGATCTTCTCTTAACATGTTTCTCTTCTAGAGGGTGGGTTGGTAGAGATGGAGGACTTCCAAAAAAGCTCTGTAGAGTTTGATTGTCTCTATTTTGGAGGGGGAAAGATAACTATAACTGTTTTGAATTAGGAAGGTTTTATATTTTTTGCAATTCCTGCTTGAAAGAAACCGGTAGGAATTGTTGGGTCAGGGCTCCTCCTAGGAATTCTGGGAGTTGAAGTCCACAAGTCTTAAAAGTTGCCAAGTTTGGAGACCGCTGAGGGATGGATGGAGTTGGGGTGAGATGCTGGATCAAGAGTAGGCGTCCTGCATTCTTTCCACACAACCTTACCCTACAGTTGTGGCTGCAGGAGTTGCAGTCACTATTTTCATAAGGGTTGAAACCTCCCCTTATTCCTCATTATTCCTCATAACAATATTGCCGCTAATGGTTTTACCGGGCCAAATACACTCTTCCCAGATGCGATCGAATTGTGAAAGGTGGAAGAGAAACAACTTTTCTAAGAAGCACGAAAGCTTAGTGACTCCTTCTGTTCCCCACCCGCTACTCTAGGATAATGTCATTGAAGACTCGATGGTGGTGGATCCCAAGTACCACCGCCATTTTGTGGCCCGTCGGGGACATGTGCTGCGGGAGATTGCAGAAGAGTACGGTGGGGTCACTGTGAGTTTCCCCCGGACAGGTGTCCAGAGTGATCACGTGACGCTCAAGGGAGCCAAGGATTGCGTGGAGGCCGCCAAGAAGCGCATCTTGGAGATCATCGGTGACCTGGTAGGTCATGTTCTCATGTCTGGATTGCAGTGGGCATTAAAAGTGACTCTCAGGTGGACCAGAGTGTGAGTCATCTTACCAAAAGCACCTTTCCCATCCTTATACCATGAATCTGCTGACAGAGTGTCTCTTAGTCTCTCCCATTTAATGAACAAATCCCTAGAGCTTACAGCATCTTAAGATAGAAATGATAACCTTTATTTTTTTTACCATGAGCACACGGGCACACATTAAAAATGAAATTCTGTTACCCACTCTCAAAAGAATGTGTGTACGTGTATACACACTGTACAGTAGGCAGATAGGCATACAGATAGATATAGAGATATAGATATACTGTACAGTGTGTGTGTGTGTGTGTGTTTATACATACTGTACATATACATATATACTGTATACAGAGATGGAAATATACTGTACAATATACACACATGTACTGTATACACACACATACATAAATACTGTATTGACACCCCCACCCACCCCCCACCCACACATATATACATAATCACTATCCATTTTCAATACATAGCGGAAAGAGGAAAGTTGAGAGTTCACAAGGTTGATACTAGAGGGAACAAAGCTGTTACTGAATCTGGATGTTCTGCTTCGGATACCGCGAAGCCTCCTCCCAGAAGGTAACAAGGAAAACGGATTGTGAAGAGGACATGTAGCATCCCAGACAATACTGCAGGATGCTGAGCAAGCTGTGCTGTTGTAATTTGGAACAATCCCTGAATGAGCTGTTGTAAGACGAGGCCTATCTGTATGTAATGTTCTCCACCTTTAGTTTCTTACAAAGTAATAAAGATGAGATAAAAATCTAATAAATAAATAAATAAATCAGCACGTGGGCTTTGATTTCTCACCTTTCCCAGGAGGCCCAGGTGGTCCTGGAATGCATCATCCCTCAGTGCTACCATCGGGTCGTCATGGGGGCGAAAGGTTACAAGGTGCAACAAATCACTCGGGATCACAATGTCTTCATCAAGTTTCCGGAGCGAGATGACAATTCAGGTGGGTGGAGTGATGTGGGCAACGTAATTTTCAACCTCCTCTCCCCCCTCCCCCCAGGTTTTCAGGAAGAAACTTTTTTTTAAGATTCTTTTTTATTTTAATTTATTTTTTTCTTCTCGCAAGCAGGTTCAGAAGCACAGTCTCAGGAAAATGGTGACATGATCCCCGAACTGGACACGAGTCCTCGCAAATGTGACATCATCCTCATTTCCGGACGCAAGGAGAAGTGCGAGGCTGCCCGGGCTGCTCTGCTGGTTAGGATCTTGCCTTCCTACTTGGTTAGGGAAAAGGGTCTTCTGTTTATCCCTATCGACCTGTACAGGGGACCTCATTTGTTTCTCAACCTGTTTTTAACCCAAGAAAGAATCTGGCTAGTATTTAGCAGGGCGTTACATTGGCCTTATGTTCTGTGCTCTGCTGGGTAACCTAAACCAAATTGGACTTACAGCCAGTTACCTGCTAGAGCAGGGGTGTCAAACGCATGGCGTCACAGTGGTGTCCCATGACGTATTGGGACTTTTTCCCACTGAACCGGGTGGGAGTGGGGCCAGCACATGACGCAGCCAGCCCATGGGCCGCAAGTTTGACACCCATGTGCTAGAGCTACCAAACAAGAGAAATATTTCACTATTAAGTAAAAATTATGCAGGTCATCCTCAATTTACAACTATTTGTTTAGTGACCGTTTGAAGTTACAGTGGGACTGGAAAAAGTGACTTATAGCAATAGCACGTAGACTTATATATCGCTTCACAGTGCTTTATTAGTGCCCTCTCTAAGCGGTTTACAGAGTTAGCCTGTTGCCCCCAACAGTCTGGGTCCTCATTTTACTGACCTTGGAAGGATGGGAGGCTGAGCAATGGTTAAACTACAGTTGGTATATATGTGGGCATACCCAAAAAAGCCAATTAATAAACGTGGACATTAGTTTAACAGCAAAAATTAGTTTAACAAACGCAGAATTTCATTTATTGGGAATTATTTTTATGCCATATTTAACTGCGTACCAAGTAGTATTTAAAAAAAATTAAGAATAACAAATACAAAAATTATGTGCTATAAGAAACGAAAAACTAAAAGGAAAAACATATATAAGAGGCCCCTAAAATGAAACAATTAAAACATTTCTTATTATAGTCATTCTTAATCTGTTTCAAAGTTTCTTCCTGAGGTGTTTGGGATTCTGAGAAGCTATTTAGGAATTCCAATTTGAGAATTAGCTTCCAGTTTTTAAGTTATAATGTAGAAAGAACTTTGAGCCTGGTGAGAATTGAACTGCTGAACTGCAGCCAGTCAGCAGAAGTAGCTTGCAGTACTGCATTCTAACCATGCGCCACCATGGCTCATAGTAACACGGTTGCTAAGTGAATCTGGCTTCTCCATTGATTTTGCTTATCAGAAGGTCGTAATAGGTGATAACCTGATCCTGGGAGACTGCAACTGTCATAAATATGAACTTGTCAACTGGCATATATTTATGATGGTTACATGAATCAATCAGTCAGAATAGAGCTGGAAGGGACCCTGGAGGTCTTCTAGTCCAATCCGCTGCTCAAGCAGGAGGCCCTATACCATTTCAGACAGGTGACTGTCAAGTCTCTTCTTAAAAATCCCTAGTGATATCCTGGGGCCATGTGATCTCCTTTTGCAATCTTCTGACCAGCAAAATCAATCGGGAAGCCAGATTCACTTAAAAGCCATGTCTATGGAGATGCTCAAGTCATCCAACGTGGTTGTCCCAAAAGTGTTTTTTTTAGAGAGGCACCTGGACTTTCTGTTTTTTTTTTTCACTTCTCATCCAAGAAGTTTCTTTAGTTCTGACTTGATAGTGGGGGAATGGAAGGATTTATACTCCTGACAGACTGCTGGTCATTTGTATCCTTTTAGAGAGCCACTGAGGCCTCCTGGAGGTTTACCTGTGTCCTCAGGGTTACCTGAGTGGTGCAAAACCCTCCCTCTCCATTGAAAGAGGGCTGTTCAATTTTGACACAGATGGCCTCTTTCAAACCTCTCTGGTTCTCTCTGCCAAAAAAAAAGCGCCCAGATTTCTCTTGGAAAAAAAGCATCTTTGGGGGACTTAAGAGCCAACTTAACAACTGTGGTAAATCTCTTTAACAACTATGGCAAGAAAGATCATTGAGTGGAGCCAAACTCACTTAATAATGGTTTTGCTTAGCAACGGAAATTTTGGGCTCAGTCATGGTCATAAGTCAAAGACTCCCTGTACTACCAAGACGTCAGAAGTACACGTTCTGCTATGCTCCTCTCTCCCCAGGCTCTGGTACCCATCACCATGGACGTTGACGTTCCCTTTGATCTGCATCGCTACATCATTCGGCAAAAGGGAGCGGGCATTCGGAAGATGATGGAGGAATACGAGGTAGGGGGAGACGATCCAGCTTGCAAACCTCCAGTCGGTGTTAAGTTCTAACTTGGTACGTTCTTGACTCTACTCATTTCTGTTTGGAGAAGCAGAAATTTGGAGGGGGGTGGAAATTCTAAAATTCTGAATTTTAAAAGTAGGACTTCCAACAATCTTGATTAACACTCCCCACTTCGTTGTGCAGCAGATATAACTCTAAAAGGCGACAGCACCTCCCATGAAATGGATCTCACCAGCCCTCTGTTCATTTTTTTTAAACATGACGGTTTTCCTTTCTGTAGGTGACCATCTCAGTGCCGCAGCCTGAGCAGCAGTCCGATATCATCAAGGTCACCGGGCTAGTGCCCAACGTGGAGCGAGCCAAGGCCGGCCTCCTGGACAGGGTCAGAGAGTTGCAGGCTGAACAAGAAGATCGGGTACTTCCCCTTTAAAAAAAAAGTTTTAAGGAACAAAAAAAAACCCAAACACAAAATAATACTAAGTGGAGGGAGGGAGGGAGGGAAGGAAGGAAGGGGGAAGAGGGGGGAAGGAAGAGAAGGAGGGGGGAGAAAGGAAGGAAGAAAAAATGATGGAGGAAGGAAGGTGGTAGAGGAAGGGAGGGAGGAAAGAGAAGGGAAGAAAGAGGGAGGAAGGGAAGGAAGAAATGAGGGAGGGAAGAAGGATGGCATGAGGAGGAATAGAGGAAGGGAGGAAGGAAGGAAGGAAGAAATGAGGGAGAAAAGGCAGGAGGGAGGAAGGAAGACAAGGAGGGAAGGGAGGAGGGAAGGAAGAAAGGGAGGAAGGGTAGAAGAAAGAAGGAAAGAAAGCACAACCTGAAAGAGTAAACACAGGTAGAAGCTGCTTTTGATTTCCTCCGTACCGAACATGAAATATATTTACAAAAATATCTCTACGGTTACCAAAAAAGATCAGGTACGTCAAGTCAGAACTTGCCCTGTGTGTCTCCCCCCGAAAAAATGTCAGGGCATCTCCAGCTGCTCCCCCTCCCCTAAATCTGCCGATGTCCTCTTCTCCCTAGGCCCTGCGAGGGTTCAAACTGACAGTGAGCGTGGAGTCCAAGTACCATCCCAAGATCATTGGCAAAAAAGGGGCGGTCATTTCCCAGATCCGTAAGGACCACGATGTCACTGTCCAGTTCCCTGACAGAGGGGACGAGCATCAGGTAGGGGTCTCTCCCTCTTTGAGTGTGTGACCCCAAAGGCGGGGGTTGGGGGGGGTTGGCTGAGAAATACTTAGCTGGTGGGCCAATGGGGAGGCGGGCCACATTTCCCACTGAAAGCCCCCTTGTCGGACAGCTAACCCCAAATGGGGCTGCTCAGTTTCCTAACCTGATCAATATAAAACGTAACGGTAAAACGCGGGCAGCAGCTGAGGGTTGAGGTCAATTATCTAAACTATTTCTCTTTTCTGCTGTCCTTTCATGCCCGCCCTGCCTTCTTTAAGGAACTCATCACAATCACCGGCTATGAGAAAAACACTGAGGCTGCCCGAGATGCCATCTTGAAAATTGTAGCCGATCTTGAGGAGATGGTCAGCGAAGATGTCCGCCTGGATCACAGAGTCCACGCCCGCATCATCGGTGGGAGAGGCAAAGCCATCCGCAAACTCATGGAAGAATTCCGGGTAGGGGGTCAGGCTTAGAGCTAGGTGGGAGACATGGCAGGGACTTTCCCCTCCCAGGGAATTCTGGGAAAGAAGCCCCATTAGTGCCCCATCTACTACAGGTAGTCCTCATCTTAACAACAGTTCATTTAGTGACCATTCAAAGGAGTGGTGCGGTGGCCTAGAGATGGGGCTCTTGCCTCACAATCAGGATGATGTGATTTCGATCTTAGGCAGAGGCAGATATTTCTCTCTCTGGGAACAATGAGAATATATCTGCTGAACAAAACTCCACATTGGCGACAGGAAGGGCATCGGTCATTAAAACATTCTGCTAGCTCCATTCAGTTGCCCAGACTCCACCCCACAAGGGATTATGGGGTCGTTAAAAGACAATGCTGATTTTAGTGATCATTCACAGTTACAATGGCTCTGGGAAAAAATGATTTATGACCATTTTTCACACTTAACAACCATTGCAGCATCCTCATGGTCGTGCGATTGAAATTCAGATGTTTGGCAACTGACTCAGACTTATGATGGTCGCAGTGCCCCTTTTTGCCACCTTCTGACAAGCAAAGTCAATGGGGGAGGCCAGATTCACCTCGTGACCCATGTTTCTAACTTTCTAACAGCTGCAGTGATTCACTTAACAACGATGGCAGGAAAGGTCGGGAAATGGGGTGCAAATCACTTAACAAGTGTCTCACTAGCAATAGAAATTTGGTGCCCAATTGTGGCACTATCTGTACCACAAGGATGTCTGAGTGAAATGGTAGCCAGTTTGTTTTTTCTCTTTATCGGTGGAAGGAAAAATCATTTCGCTTTCCTTAGAAAGTAACATTTTCTTCGAGTTGAACTTGACTTTGTGTGTTTGTTTTGGGGCCACAGGACAAATATGGTTGGCTCTCATTTTATGTTCCTGTTCGGTCTAAAGCTCTGGGATTTTCCTGGTCAGCTTTTGGAGATCCGCCGAGATCAGGTAGGGATCTTACTTATTTCAAAACAGCTTTTTCTTCTCGGCAGGTGGATATCCGCTTCCCGCAGCCAGGTGCCAGCGACCCAGATAGAGTCACCGTGACAGGGCTGCCTGAAAACGTAGATGATGCCATCGACCACATGCTTAACCTGGAAGAGGAATATGTGAGAGGGAATTTGGAGGGTTTTAGGATGTGGGTGTGTGAGGGGGAAGCATTGGTGGTATTTAATTTTTTTTTACTTCCGGTTGTGTGGGCGTGACATGGTGGGTGGGTGTGGCAGGGGAAAGATACTGCAAAATCCCCATTCCCTCCCCACCCCACTAACCTGCTTTCCAGCTCCATTCTCCTGTGCAGGGCAACAAAAGAAGACCCAGCCAATCAGCTGGGACTCGGGAGGCAGAGAATAGATGGGGGCGGGGCCAGTCAGAGGTGGGATTTGCCAATTGTCTGAAGTACTCAAAATTTCCGCTACCGGTTCTCCAGAACCAGTCAGAACCAGCTAAATGCCACCTCTGGGAAAAAGCTAATTGAAAGAACAGAGGGAGAACAAAGGGAGGGCATCATTTTGCTCTGCTGCTTCAGAATTTCCCCCACAGCTATTCATTCACTAGGGTAGAGTCTCCAACCTTGGCAACTTTAAGACTCGTGTCTTCAACTCCCAGAATTCCTCAGCCAGCTCTGGCTGAAGAATTCTGGGAGTTGAAGTCCACAAGTCTTAAAAGTTGCCAAGGTTGGAGACCCCTGTGCTAGGGAGATTTTAAAGACCATGTTTCCAAGGAAAAACCTTTCCTGAGGTCTCTGCTTTTGTGTCAGGCTCACTGTGTACGCCAAACCAAGAAATCAATTCCACAAGAAAGTTACAATTACATTGATGATTATGGGTCAGCTTCTTTACTTTCTCTTTTACAATTTCCTTATAAAATCTTACAAAAGTAAGCTTCTACATTTATAGGCAAGAAAAATCAAATGCACAGGTACAGCATAAGTGGTACCTCACTCAATAGTAGTAGTTGTGAGAGGGATCTTGGGAGTCCCAGTGGACAACCATTTAAATAGGAGCCAGCCGTGTGCTGCGGCTGCCAAAAAAGCCAACACAGTTCTAGGCTGCATAAACAGAGGGAGAGAATCAAGATCATGTGAAGTGTTAATACCACTTTATAAGGCCTTGGGAAGGCCACACTTGGAATACCGCATCCGGTTTTGGTCACCACGATGTAAACAAGATGTTGAGACTCTAGAAAGAGTGCAGACAAGAGCAACAAAGGTGATTAGGGGACTGGAGGCTAAAACATATAAAAATGATTGCTGGAATTGGGTATGTCTAGTCTAATGAAAAGAAGGACTAGGGGTGACATGATAGCAGTCTTCCAATATCTCAGGGGCTGCCACAAAGAAGAGGGAGTCAAGCTATTCTCCAAAGCATCTGAGGGCAGGACAAGAAGCAATGGGTGGAAACTAATCAAGGAGAGAAACAACCTTAGTACTAAGGAAAAATTTCCTAACAGTTAGAACAATTAATCAGTGGAACAACTTGCCTCCAGAAGTTGTCAATGTTCCAATACTGGAAGTTTTAAAGAAGACATTGGATAATCATTTGTTTGAAATGGTATAGGGTTTCTTGCCTGAGCAGGGGGTTGGACTAGAAGACCTCCAAGGTCCCTTCCAACTCTGTTATTCTATTCTCTACTTTGGGTTATTTTACTTTGGGTGTCCAAGGAGATTTTGGTTCTTGCACTTCTCGCAGCCTCAACTGCCATTTACAGCTGCTGTAATTTGGCTTTGAGGTTGCCTTCCCATCTTCTGGGTCTGCCTCATGTTCTTTGACCACCTCCTCTTTTTATGGATGCCTTAAATTGTAACCCAAACTTGGAAACTTTATGACTTGTGGACTCTTAACTCCCAGAATTCTATGCTGGCTGAAGAATTTTGGGAGTTGAAGTCCACAAGTTGTAAGTCATCAAGGCTGGGGATCCCTCCTGTTAATATTACCATATAACCCATCTATAGTTGCAGGTAGAATCATTGTGTTTCCACAACAACCCCTGAGCAGGTGCATTTGATCAAAAGAGTAAGCTTGGCTAATCTTAATCTTGGCTGGGTTTTAGGAACAGTTTGGCCTGTTGCACAGATCCAACCTGTTTCATGAGTTTAATGCATCAATACATGGTGAGAACTTTGGCAGTGGGTGGCTTCAATAATCCAATTAATTGTGGAGCAGTAATTACATATTCTGGGCATGCATCCCCAGAATGCGGTGCCCAAAGGAAGTGAGATACTTTAGAACATGAAACTTGTTATTTGCACCTTGGGATATCATCAAATACCTTTTTCAAGCAGCAGCAGGAAAGATATCGTGCCAATTGCCTGCAGGGCAAGGTAATGAAATGACCATGTCATAACTGAAATGAATCAATCTGAAGTTTTGTTGTTTACAAAGTGCTCAGACTCACAATCTCTGGTGTGACAATTGTGATGTATGCCCGATTCTAATGGTGGACTCCAAAGGCATCTATCTGGTTCTTCTTTGAGCAAAAATCCTGAGCTGATTTTCTCTTAGGAGGGCAGAAACGGGCATGATTTTGCCATTCCAAAATATCTGCCTATCTTTCTGTTTCTGTTTCTCCCCCCCCTCTCCCCCCCACTCCTCTCTCTCTCTCTCAAATATTCTGTCTTTCTGTCTGCCAACTCACCCACCTATCTAGCTATTTATTTATTTTTATTTAGTTAGTTAGTTTATTTGTTTAGTTTGCCAAGCATGTATGAGGAAACAAGTATAAATATGAACATATAAGAATAAGCAGGTATAAGTATAAATGAGTACGAATACATGGGAACAATAGGACAGGGATGGTAGGTACGCTGGTGTGCTTATGCATGCCCTCCTTACAGACCACTTAGGAATGGAGTGAGGTCCACGGTACAGTTTAAGGTTAAAGTTTTGCAGGATTGAGGATGTGACAACAGAGTCAGGTAGTGAGTTTCAGGCATTGACCACTCTGTTGCTGAAGTTGTGTTTTCTGCAATAGAGTTTGGAGCGGTTTACTTTGAGTTTGTATCTATTGTTTGCCCATGTGTTATTGTGGTTGAAGCTGAAATAGTAATTGAAAAGTAGGTTGTTGTAGCAGACAATTTTGTGTACTAAGCTTAGGTCAGACCGTAGGCGGTGTAGTTCTAAGTTGTCTAGCTATCTATTATCTATTTTCTATCTATTTATTATCTATATTTGCTTATCATCTATCAATCTTATGTATATCATATATCTATTGTTTGTCTCTACCTTGCTCTCTATCATCTGTCTGAATGTCTGTCGGTCCGTCCATCCATCCCTCCATCCAATCTATCTAATCATTTGTAGCTCACGGAAAAGCCAACCTAAGTTTGGGAATTATTGTCCACAGTTTCTTAACGGACAGCTGTCTCCTTGCAGATGATGGATGTGGTGGAAACGGAAACCATGGCTGCTTACATGAAACCTCCCTCCCGCTTGGAAGAGGAGCCTCGGGGCCCCGCCAAGGGATTTGTAGTGCGTGACGCCCCCTGGAATGCATCTGGGAACAAGGTTGGGTTCAACACTGTCGGTGGTCCCTCCTTCACTTCGTTTGACCAGTTGACCAGCTTCAAATCTTGATAAAGAGCTGGAGGACTCAGCTCTCTAGTTGTCAATGATGAGTGGTTGGTCGCCCAGTAGCCAGATGTTTAGACTGGAGTTGGCATTTTCCTTCCCAATAGACCCAGGATAGGCAGATGGGTTACATAACTTGTGTTATTATTTTGAGAAATGTGAATTTGAAAAAAAAAAATACAGATAATCCTAAACTTACAACAATTCATTTAGTGACTGTTCAAAGTTACAATATCAATGTAAAGGTAACTTATGACCATTTTTCACACTTACAACCATTGCAACATCACCACGGTCACGTGATCAAAATTCAGACGCTTGGCAACTGACTCGTATTTATGACAGTTGCTGTGATCCCTTTTTGCGACCTTCTGACAGGCAAGGTCAAAGGGGAAGCCAGGTTCCCTTAACAACCGTGTTACTAAACTTTTCAACTGTGGTGATTCACTTAATAACATCAGCAGGAAAGACTGTAAAATGGGGCAGATTTGACTTAACAAATGTCTCCGTTAGCAATAGAAATTTTGGGCTCGATTGCACTCGTAAGTTAAGGAATACCTGCGTGGTTTGGAACGTGTTTTCTTACCTTAATAAAGCTCCCCTTCATTTATTCCTTATTCACATGAGAGCTTCTTTTCTTGGGCTGCCATCTAGAAGGAAGGAAGGAAGGAAAGAGGGAGGAAGGAAGGAAGGAAGGAAGGAAAGGAGGGAATGGAGGAAGGAAGAGGGAAGGAAGAAGGAAAAAAAGAAAAAATAAACTCAGCAACTGAAATTTTCATTTTTAATTGTCAACTTCTTGCCATCAGTGACCAGACTAGATACAATTGGGGGGGAAAAAGTGGGGGGGACAAGCACTGCATTAGCTGAACTAACTTATTCCATGCAGGACATCCAGGGTACAGGAAGTCCTCAACTTACGACCACAATGGAGCCCAAAATTTGGTTGCTAAGTGAGACGTTTGTGAAGTGCGTTTTGCCCCGTATTACAACCATTCTTGCTTCCATGATTAAGTGAACCACTGAGCTTCATAAGTTACTAACCCGGTTGTTAAGTGAATCTGACTTCCCTATTGTCAGAAGGTCGCAAAAGGGGATGAAATGACCCCACAAGTCTCATAAATATGAACCAGTTGAATTTTGATCGCATGATTGTGGGGATGCTTGAAAGGTAACTGAAAAACAGTCATAAGTCACTTTTTTCGATGGTGCCGTAACTTTGAACAGTCACTAAAGAACGGTTGTAAGTCAAGGACTACCTGTACATCCTTTGTTTCAGGACTGCCTAAGGAAAGCACCCCCTCTGAACTCGACTGTCCTCTTTTTGTTTCAGGCCCCAGATGTGAGCAGCGCCGAAGAGTTCCCCATTTTTGGCACCGGCGTGGTCCCTAAGCAGGCATCGGTTTGGGGCCCCAAGAAGTTTTGAGGCCAGGGACCACCACGGCTGGCTCGCCAGGCAAGGCCTCATGGTCTGGGGGGAGCCTCTGTGGCACCACCAGCTCCCTGCCGCCAGCCGTCACTCTTCCTCTCCGAGACTCTCTCCTCTTCCTCCTCGCCCGTGACTCTGTGCAAAACCATTAACCGATCAAAAAAGCCATAGCCTCCCTCCTGTTCCTTTCTTCTTGTGGAGCCAAAAGTAGGCCAGGTTTTAAGCACACCTATGTTCAAGGAGCATTGTGCAGCTAGCGGGGTTCCCCCCCCCCCTCACTCCATTTGCCAGATTTCAGGGCATTAAACTCCTTGCTTGACCCCCCCTTGCTTCCGCCTCTCAGCCGTGAAAGAAGTCCTAAACTTTTTCTGTCCAGTTCCTTCTCTTCTCAGGGTGACGTGGGCCCATCCACGCATCCAGATCTCCTGGAAGAGCTGGAAGGAGAGGGGTTTGTCGGGGGTGGGGGTGGGGGTGAGGTTCAGACTTGCTGGAGTACAATTCCTCGCTCACCCAACCATCACGCTCTGCTTTCGGATGCCAGAAGCGGCTTCAGCTTGGCTTGTTTCCTAGCTCTGCTCTGCTAGTGAATTTGGAGCTGGGAAGGACCAAAACTGGAGGAAGAAACATTCTTGCAAAGAGAGGGTGTGTGTTTGTGTGTGTGTGTGTGTGTGTATGTGTGAAGATCTAGAAACGAGATTCTGGCTTGCTGTGGGTGAAAGGCCCACTTTGGAAGCAGGTAGCACTTAGAAACTTTGACAACTAGCAGCCTTCCTTCTCCACCTCCTCCTCCTCCCTTTTCACATCGGTGACCCCTCTCTGGAGTCTGAAAATGTTCTTTTTCCCCCTCTTCTTCCTCCATTTTCAACTATTTCTCATCTCCTTTCCCCCAGCTCCCCTTTCTTCCCTTTCCCTTTGTCTTCCATCTACTCGCTTTGAACAGTGTCAAGGGAAAATAGGCAACCATTGGTCCAAGAGGCAAATGTTCTTGTCGACTTCCCTTTTTTGGTGACTAGTCCTCATCATACTTCCCAGGTTTTAAACTGTGATTTCTCAAGCGGGAGGGTGTGTTCGGGCGTGTGTCCACATGAGAGCGCGTGGGTGTACGTGAGAAAGGCGAAGGTGTGAGTTAATACCCCCTCCCTAGCTCCATCTCTTCTCTTGCCACCGACAATCCAGGTTGTCCTGGCTGTGCGACGGGGCACAACGTAACAAATGAAAAAAAGGAAAAGGAAAAAACGACAACAACCTGGAAGAGCGACACAACCCAGTTTTTCCTTTTTTCTTCTTTTTTTCTTTTCTTTCTGAGGAAGGCAAGGTTTTGGGGAGAAATAAAAATATGACAAAAATCAGAAGACACTATTGGCCTTAACAGGGGGTGGGGGGAAAACAACAGGACGGGGCGTGAGAAGGAGGGAAAAAAGGAACTTACGTTTGACAAAGGAAATATGCAAACTCTGTAGGTCACACAGTGACTGGATTTTTTTTTCTAATTCCAAATTAAAAAAAAACAGCGTGGGGAAAATAAAAACTCTTGGTGAATTTTTGATGCGTCAGTTGAGCTGTGTGGGAGTCTTTTTGCTTTCTCCATACTGAAAGGGAAATCCCACTTATTGTAGCTACTGTTCTTCTGTTGCTATTCCAGTGGAGAGACGAATACAGGTAGTCCTTGACTTACAACCATGACCGTTCGAAATTACAACAGCACTGAAAAAAAGTGACGGAGCATGTTCTCACAATTGTTGAAAAATATCCATAGCTGGACTTAAATCGGGACCAGAATTTCCTTTGCTAAGCCAGGTAGTGATAGAGTGAATAGAATAGAACAGAACAGAACGTAAATTAGAATATAGATAGAATCCAATAGAATAGAATAGGAATGTAAAGTAATTAGAATAGAACAGAATAGAATAAAATGTAAATCAGAATATAGAATAGAATCCAGTAGAGTAGAATAATAGAGCAGAGCAGCCAGAGCATTAGAATTAGGATACAATAGAATACAGAACAGAATAGAACAGAACAGAATAACAAAATTGGAAAGGACCTTGGAGATCTTATATCTAGTCCAACCCTCTACTCAGATAAATGGTTGCCCAATCTCTTCCTAAAAACTTCCCTTAGGTGCTCTGGAGAATAGCTTGACTTCCTCTTCTTTGTGGCAGCCCTTCAATCTCTTCTTAAAAACTTCCAGAGATGGAACACCCACAACTTTTGGAGGCAAGTTCTCACTGTCAGGAAATTCCTCCTTAGTTCTAGGTTGTTTCTCTCCTTGATTAGTTTCTATACATTGCTTCTTCTGACCTCAGGTGCTTTGGAGAAGTTTGACTCCCTCTTTGTGGTTGTCCCTCAAATATCGGAACACTGCTACTATGTCACCCCTAGTCCTTATTTTCACCAAACTTAGATGTACCCAATTCCACCAACCATTCCTTATAAGTTTTTAGCCTCCGGTCTCCTAATGATGTGAGCTTCATTCGATTTTCTGCATTTGATTTTACGATCTCTCCCCCGCCCACATTTGTTAATAGAATCACTAGCTGTTAAGTGAACCATGCTGCCGTTGAAGTTGAATCAACTTCCCCCATTGACTTTGCTTGTCAGAAACTGGCCGGGAAGGAGACAAATGATCAAATTCCCACCCCAGCTCAACTCATAAATACATGCCAGTTGCCAAGCGCCCAATCTTTTGATCACGTGACACAAGGATTCTGCGACAGTCCTAAATCTGAAAACCTGGTCCTAAGTCCCTTATTTTCAATGCTGTAACTTCAGTCGCTAAGCAAATGGCTTTTAAGTCAAGGACTAGCTGTGGTCTCCATTTGGGCCAATAAGAAACAAAGCTGATGTAACACAGCCCTGACACTGTATTTCTTGTGTTCTTCTCAACCTTCCCAATGAGGTCTTTCCGGTCTGGAAAAGCAATCCAATCTTCTTAAGAACTGCTCCTTCGGGTGACAGATTTGACTCGTTAATCCCACGGGGTCAAAGCAGCCAGTCGAAGTTGGGACATGGGAAATCAGTTCTGGCTCAGCGCTGATCCTCCTTCTGTAGGAGGAGATCAGCCAGGGCAAGTCAGCCATTGTTTACTTTCTGCTTTATTTTTGCCTTTTTATCCAGTATAATTACTACGAAACTGGAGAGGGCCCACCAGCAACCAGTTATGGGCGGGGTTTAGGATGTCTTTCATCTCACACAAATTCCACCAAAACACTTAAAATTTGTGAGGAACAAAAACCCACAATTCAGGTGATCCTTTGGCAAAAGTTCTGCCTCTTTGAAACAGCGTAAATCACTGCGATCAGAAATTGTCAGGCCGTCATCAAATATATAAATTGCTGAGTCACTCAGGCATACAAATTAAAGAGAGACAGAGAGTTTGGTGTAGGGGTTATGGTGTCAGTCTAGAAACCAGGATATTGTGTTCCAGTCCTGCCTTAAGCCCAAAGCCAGTTGGGTGACCTTGGGCCAGTCACTCACTCTGGGCCCTAGGAAGGAAGCAACGGCAAACCTCTTCTGAAAAATCTTGCTGCAGGGACTAATCCAGGCAGCTACCAGGAGTCAACGCTGACTCAAAAGTCCCACTCACACACCCCAAAAAGCCCACAATAGTATTTTTGCTTATTGTTAGGGAGCTCGGCCATTGCTATTTATGGCTAAGCATGTTGAAGGGGACTCCTTGTTTGTCATTATCCAACTAATTATGGTTTATTGGAAACTGATTACATGTACAAGCCAACTCAGCAGTTCATGTACGATGTTAAAAGGCAGCACACAAACATACAAGTTGAAGAAATTTGCGTTGTGCAGCCCACCAAGCAGGGACAAAGAAGCTGTGATACCCACAGTAAATTTCTGCCGTTCACTGATATTCACTGCCATTCCATACACAAATGGCTACTTCTGCCAAGTATGTTCCTTTCATTCCCAATTTGTTTTTATCTGAATGCAAACAGCTTTATCTACCACAGGAAATGCTGAATGGGGCTTGCAAACCTAATGAAAAGACGCCTACAAATTAAAGCAGAGACCGAAAATGCAGGAAGCATTTTTTAATTAACAGCCAGGTTTAAAAACACGATCCTTCCCTTGTATAAAGCAGGCTCTTCAGTCGCTAGAGCAGGGGTTCCCACCCCCTGGAGGTGCGAGACGATATTCCAGGGGGTGTGAGAAAAGCCCAGGTAAATAATAGGATATCGGCTATATGTTGGCATTTTTATTATTTATTTCAGGGGGTGCGAGGTTCGAGTGAAATTTCGTTAAGGGTGCGGGGCGAAAAAAAAGGTTGGAAACCACTGCGCTAGAGAATGTAAGTATTTTTTGAAAAACCACAGGAGCTCCCAGGTGTGCAGAAATGGCGAAGTAATTGGGTGGACTTCGCCATCAGCTAAAAGGCTAGGATGGGGTGGAAGTCCCCATCCATGCTGCCCATCCACCCAGGTCAATTTTTGGATCACTCTTAACACCATATGGCTGCAAAAGAGATGCTCGGCCTTAGCCAGTTCTATTGCACCTTCGGCCTGGCCCAGCATTGAATTCATTTTGCCAGATGCCCCATTCGAGCCAATAATTACCCCGGGAGGAGAAACTGGGATTCAAGAATTGATTTCTGTGCAGAATTAAAAGAGTTAATCAAAGGCATTTCAGAATTGAGATATGCTCAGGAGCCAAGTCCAAATCGAGCAGGCCTGCGGATAAACCGAGCCCCAAATTTCTGTGGCTAAGCAAGGCAGTTAAGGGAATTTTTACTCATTTTACAGCCTTTGTCACCACAGTTGACAAATGAAATCGCTGCAGACCTTAACTTAGTAACACAATTTTTAGATGAATCTGGCTTCCCCATTGACTTTGTTTTTCAAAAGGTGATCGCAAAACCATGGGACACTGCAACTGTCATAAATATGAGTCAGTGGCCAAATACCTGGATTTTGATCATGTAACCTTGGGGATGCTGCAATGGTCATAAGTGAAAAATGCTCAATAAGTCACTTTTTTTTTCAGTGCCACTGTAACTTTGAACTGTCATTAAACTAATGGTTGTAAGTTGAGAATCACAGTGCTGGTATACCATATATTACACATACACGTCAGAATGTCCTGAGATTTCATCATTTGTTCCCAGTATCAAACACAATTTAGACTGAACATTCCATAATAAGAGGGGGGGGGGGTGCACTTACTAAACTAAATTCTGCAGTTTTTAACTTGCTAATGAATGTTTTACCTCCGGACTTTTAACTTTTTACCTCTGAATTTTTGCTGTGCAAAATGCTACATTATTTTTCCACCAGTAATAGGTGGACTTTCAAAATTCTTTTTCGCACTTACACATCCACAATTGCGCCAACCCTTCCTATAAGTGGAAGGTTTGTAGTTGGCCTCTTTAGCTTTTAATGACAAGTGTCAAAAAAGACGTGGGCCCACTGCTAATTCTAACCATGGCTTACCAAGCAAAAGGGCAATGTGATTAAGAGAGACTAGCTCTGATAAAAGCTAAACCGTGGCTTGTTTGCAAAAGCCCCTTAGTGGTTTACTAGTGGGTTAATAGCCCTGGGGGAGAATACAGGTCATCCACAGTTCATTTAGTGATGGGTCAGAAGTTACAACTGCCCTGAAAAAAGTAACATGACCATTTTTCACACTTAATGAGTGCTGCAGCATTCCCCATGGTTGCGTGATTTACATTCAGATGCTTGAGACAAGAATTATGACGGTTGCAGACTCCCGGGGTCATGTGATCATCTTATGCGACCAAGTCAATGGGGAAGCCAGATTCGCTTAATAACCAAGTTACAAACTTGCGATTCACTTAATGTGGCAAGGCAAGTTGTAAAATGGGATAAAACTCACTTCAGAGATTTCTCATTTTGGCAACATAAATTTGGGGCTCGATTGTGGTAAAACAAGGATTATCCGAGTACCCTCTCCTCGACTCCGGTCAGGTGCCCATTCTCCGGAAAGCCAAGTTGTACGCTCACTCAGCCAAAACTCATGCACATTCCCACGAGATGCTAAAAATGAATGGAATATAGCTGGAAGAGTCTTTGGGAGCTCTTGTAGTCCAGCTCCCGTGCCTCAAGCAGACAGAACCTATACCACTTCAGATAGGTGACTTGTCTCAAATCCAGAGAGAGGGAGAGTTGGGGAGCGGGAGGGGAGGGGAGAAAGAGGGAGGGGAGAGGTGGGGAGGAAGGAAAAGGTGGGGAGGGAAGGAAGGGGAGAGAGAGGTAGGGAGGGGGAGGGGAGAGGTGAGGAGGGAGGAAGAGGTGGGGAGAGAGTTGGGGAGGAAGGGAAAGGAGAGAGGTAGGGAGGGGGAGGGGAGAGATGGGGAGGGAGGAAGAGAGGTGGGGAGGGAAGGGAAAGAGAAAGGGAGGGAGGGAGAGGTGAGGAGGGAGGAAGAGAGGTGGAGGGACAGAGAGGGAGGGAGGGAGGGGGAAGGGAGACAACGCGAGAGAGGCCGAGGCTGAACCGTGCGACCCGCTTCAAAGCCCTCAGAGCCTTTGAACCACCTCGGATTAACGCGATTCATGCTAACCCGGCGGTCTTTCCTTTGAAGCCGATTCAAGCCGCCCTGCCGAGCCAGCCGGTGCGCACCGGTCTCCCCAACTCCGCACCCCATCCCACCTCCCCAAAGCCTCCCGGGCTCCCATCCAGATCGGGGATCGGAAACGTAAAGCCTTTCTTCCCTCCCTCCGCCTCCTACACTCGCCCCGACCCCGACCCCGCCTTATCTCCCCTTCATAAAACAAAAACAAAAAAAAACATCCTCACGCACCTCCACCCCCACAACCACCCCCTTCCGTCCTACCGGTAAGCCAGCAACCCCGCAGGCCGCGAAACCCGGGCGCTGCGTAAAAAAAATCAACCCCACGGCGCGCGTGGGGCGTGACACGGGGGAGGAGCCGTTGGCCAGCCCCCCCCCACCGCCGGTTGAGGGCGTGGCCTCGGCGGGGACCTGCCGGGGAAGAAGCGGGCTGCAGGTCCGCACGCAAGAGAAGCGGCTGCCGGTCTCCGTGCGCGCGTGGGCGGGGGGGGGGGGGAAGCCCCCAAGGATGCTTTCCCCGCCGCAGTTTCCTCGCCTTTGCGCCCTGGCCGCGTGAAGAAGAATCCCGGATCGTCTGGATCCACCCGGTTTCCTCGATTGCCTGCCCGGCTCCGAAATATCTCCCCCGGCTACTCGGCCGGCTTCCCTTCGAAGATCCGCGATACCGGATCCCCCAGCCTGCGTTGCCCGGTGCCATCGTGGGCACGGGAAGCGCTTCCCTAACCTTCCTTGTGGGTTAACCCAACCCCTGGTCACCCAACTTGCTGCGGAGGTCTTCTCGTCCGACCAACCCTGGTTTCTTCTGGCCGCTTTTGCTACCTGGGTTGTTTGAATCCTGGTTTCTCTGTTTCTCCTGTTCCTCCCCTTTGCCTCCTCAAGGGCTGGGGAAAAGAGAGCCAGCCGGGACCCTGATGGTAACACTGCTTTTCTTCTGGATGATGACGCAGGGATCTTCTCTGTTATAGTTGCCCTTTCTTCTCCCTTCCTCCTCCTCCTCCTCCTCTTGACCTTCCATCTTCCTTCCCCTTGACCTTCCATCCTTCACAGAAGTGCTTCTTCTGACCTTCGGAGGACCTGGGGTGGGTCCTCCTTCCATGCCTCCTTAAATCCTTCAACTGACCCTTCACCTTCTTGGCTTCTCCTTTCCAAAATCTTTTCCAGCTCCCTTGACAACACCCACCCACCCACACCCATAATGGACTTTTTCCTCAGTGGGGTGGCTGCCTGTGGGGCCTGCCTCTTTACCAATCCCCTGGAAGTGGTGAAGACCCGGATGCAGCTCCAAGGAGAGCTCCGCTCTCCTGGCACGTACACCCGCCATTACCGCAATGTCTTCCATGCCTTGTACACCATCGGACGGGTGGACGGGCTGGCTGCTCTCCAGCGAGGACTTTCGCCTGCCTTGTTCTATCAGTTTGGCTTTAACGGCATCCGCTTAGGCGCCTATGGGATAGCGGAATCCAAGGGCTACATCTACAAGCGGGATGGACGGATCAGCCCATTGCGGGCCACCCTGGCAGGAGCTTTGGCTGGCGCCGCAAGTGCCATTGTGAGCAGCCCCCTGTACCTGGTGGGTCTTAAGCCCAGAAGCGTTAGAATAACAGAGAAATTGACCCCCCCAACGCATTTCTGTCTGGAATTCAGAGTTGCTGGGTCGATTTCTTCCTTTTAGAATCAGGGATAAAGAGATAAGCAACTATTATTATTGTTGTTATTATTATTATAGAACTAAAACCAATGTAATGAATATTGTAAACGTCTTGAATATTATTTCCTAAAACTATTTGTACCTAGACAACACACTGTTTAATTAAAAATGGAATCTTTATATGTTATATGTTAAATTTTATATATATTTTATATATATATATAGAAAAAGAAAAATGCAGCAGTCACCAAAAATATTTCCTGATAGCAATAAGCACTTAGACTTATATACCGGTTTACAGTGCTTTAACAGCACTCTCTTAAGTGGTTTACAGAGTCAGCCTAATGCCCCCAACAATTTTGGGTCCTCACTTTACCAACCTCGGAAGGATGGAAGGCTGAGTCAACCTGGAGCTGCTCAGAATCGAACCACTGGAGTGAGCAGTGAGCAGGGCTGCATTCTAGCCGCTATGTAAACGGGCTGCCCGGTTGCTTCTTTTTTCACCTGTCCCTGTACTTTTACAAGAGCCAGATTTGCTACTGTACTGGTTTTCACCAACTGTGAGAACGTTCTTCTCCTCTGGTTTAAAGCAACTTTGAATACTTTCACTGCTCTGATTAATAGAACAAAAACTGCTTCAAAGAAGTGGGTAACACATTGATGGGAGAAACAGAAATCAATGTTATTTTTGAATTCATCATCCTGACATGTTGTTTCTTAACAAAGTAACCTTTCTCTAATCCTCTCTCCAGGTGAAGACTCATCTCCAAGCTCAGTCAGCTTCTGAGATTGCTGTAGGACACCAGTATCAGCACCAGGTAAGCTGCTCTTGCCTTATAGTGAGAAAGTTGTAATTTGCTGACCTTTTGCTCCTCAGAATCTCACCGTAAATTACTGGTCACCAAGTTTGCAGGATTTTCAAAAAGGGTCTGTCTTAGCCTTTTTCAGGGGACCTCGGGAATGATTAAAAAAAACATTATATACAAAAAAGATAAATTAAGATTCTGGTCCTCATTATTCTAAAGCAAGTCTAACGAAGAGAAGGACTAGTAGGGGTGATTTGATGGCAGTCTTCCCATATTGTCATAGAGAAGAGGGGGTTGACTTATTTTCCAAAGCGCCCGAGAACAGGACAAGAAGAAATAGGTGGAAGATGATTAAAGAGAGCTCCAATCTGGAACTAAGGAGACATTTCCTGAAGGTGAGAACAGTTAATCAGTGGAACGGCTTACCTTTGGAAGTTGTGAGTGCTCCATCACTGGGGGTTTTCAAGAAGAGACTGACAAACATTTGGCCAGATTGGTATAGGGTCTCCTGCTCTAGCAGGGGGTTGGGCTAAAAGACCTCTAAAATCCCTTTCAACCCTATTATTCTGTGCTCTAACTAAAGGGCCTTTCAAAATTGGAACTATAGAAAAGTATCTCACCATGAAATAGTCCTTCCTGCATCACTGATCCAGAACTGAACACAGTTCTGCATTGTATTCCCAGTATTGCCCAAAGATGCTAGAGGCTGAACTTGTGGTTTGTCCTGCCACTAAATTGTAGTCTTTCCCAATTTTGATTGTTGGGAGAGGAGCTTGTTTTGGCACACCAGCTCCTTTAATAACAGCCTCCCAGCAATGGAAATTGCTGGCAACCATTATTATTTCAATAGCTATCATGTTGCTTGGAACTCAGTTCTTCATGCATGGTTGCCAGAAAGTATTCTTAGCAATTCATTCATGGTATGACCTCAAGATCTATTAGGATAGCTAGATTTTAGAAAATACAAGGCAATGATGTCATTCATTTCACCTGCCTCCATAAATCTTCATTGTTTGCATTATTTGCATTGTTTAACTTATTGCACCTGTGTATGGTTTGCCAATTGCACAATGGCGGATAGGACAGTACTCCAGAACAGGGGTCCCCAACCACCGGTCCACGGACCGGTACCGGTCCGCGGAACAAGTCCTACCGGGCCGCTGGTTGCTGGGCGCCGCCATCTTTTTTTGATGAAAAAGTGCTTCCGGTGAGCTTTTCCGGGTAGAAAGCTCACCGGAAGCACTTTTTCATCAAAAAAAGATGGTGGCGCCCAGCTGATGCCGGTACCGGGCCGCGGCGCCCAGCTGATGCCGGTACCGGGCCGCGGCATAAAAAAGGTTGGGGATCACTGCTCCAGAAGGTTAACATTGCCCAGAGGATCATTGGTTGCCCTCTCTCCTCTTTGTAAGAGCTTTATAGTTCCCACTGCCTTAAGGAAGTTCAAAACATTCTTAAAGATCCATCTCATCCTGGGCACCTTTTTTTTTAAACTATTATCATCTGGCAGGCGGTTTAGGACAATAAAAATAAGGACAAATAGGCTCAAAAACAGCTTCTATCCCAGGGCAGTAACTATACTGAATTCTACTGTATAGTGCAATATTCATGCAATATCAGGAGTTTTCAGTACAATTGTATAGAACGTGAGGGATGTGTGTATTTGTTTTAGTTATTGTTTTATGTATAATGAAGATGGCGTTTAATTTCATTGTATGGGGTGCAATGACAATAAACTGAACAAAACAAAACAAAACAAAACTAAACCAAACCAAACCCAACCCAACCCAACTCCAAATTGTACACCTAAAGAAAAACAACAATCTATGGCTTTTAAAGACTAATCGTTTTATTATCCAGGTACTGCTTGACTTACAACCCACAACTGAGCCCAAATATATCTCTTGGTAAACAAGATAGTTATTAAGTGAGTTTTGCCCCCCTTTTATGACCTTTCTTGCCAGAGCTGTTAAACAAATCACTGCAGTTATTAAGTTAGTACACAGTTGTGAAGTGAATTTGCCTTCCCCCTTGGCTTTTGCTTGGTCTCAAAAACACTGCCACTGTCACAAATATGAACTGTTTGCCAAGCATCTGAATTTTGATCACGTGATTGGAGGGATGCAGTGTGTCAGCCTTGGAAGTCATATTTTACTTGTAAAATTTGTTGTAAGTGTGTTAAACAGTCATACGTGACTTTTTTCAGGGTTGTTGTAACTTTGAAGGCTCCCTAAATAAATGGCTGTAAGTGGAGGCCTATTTGTAGAGAAAGAAAATAAAGTAGCCTCATCTTATGACCACAGCTGAACCCAACATTTATGTTGTTAAGTGAGAATTCGTTATGTGTGTTTTGCCCCATTTTACAACATTTCTTGCCACTGTTAAGCGAATCACTGCAGTTGATAAGTTGGTGACATGGTTGTTAAGTGAATCTGACTTTGCTTGTCAAAAGGTAGCAACCCCGGACGCTGCAATGGTCATAAGTATAAAACCAGTTGCCCAGCATCTGAATTTTGATCACGTGATCTTGGGTATGCTACAAGATTGTAACTGTGAAAAACGGTCATGTTACTTTCTTTGGTGCTGTTGTAACTTTGAACAGTCACTATGTGGACTGTTGTAAGTTGAAGACTATCTGTAAGTAGATATCCTGGCTAATTGTTAACTTCTGTTAGGGTCTTTGAAAGAGCAATAAAGGCATCATTTATATAAACTATACCTTCCCTTTAAAAAAATATCTAAATTTGGTCTAGTGATTAAGTGGTTCATTTTGGTCTATGGCTGGGTGTAGAACTATGGCCTCTTTATCACTTGCGGACTTCAACTCCCAGAATTCCTGAGAAAACTATGGCCATGCTAACTCAGGAATTCCGGGAGTTAAAGTCCACAAGTCATAAAGGGGCCATAGTTCCCCACTTCTGGGTTAGGGTATTAGGCTAAAAAGTGGGAGATAGTGAGTTCTAATTCTGCCTCAGCTATAAAAGCCACCTTTTCAAATTTAGGCCAACCAGCCCGACCCACCTCACAGGGTTGTTTTTGCACAGAAAATAGGAGGAAGAAGATGTGTTGGTTATGTTCACCACCATGAACATATTTGTAAAAAAAATAGTCGGGAGACAAATAAACAAAATAAATAATAAATAAAACCGTGCCAGCCGAATTAAAATATTGGGTGAACTTAATTAAGCAATATCAGTTGCTTAAATCTCATTTCAGGAAGTAGTAAACAATCATCCTAGGAAATACTCTTCTCCAATCTATAGCGAATATTCTTGCATTGCCCTGTTTGGAAGTAGAGTGAGGAAACAAGATGGCCATTTAAAAGATCTCCACCACAAAGCACACTGCGTCAGCCTAACTTAGGATCATTTCCGAGGCAAACCAGGTTAAGTCTGGAGATTCTGCAGCATTTCTGTCCAATCCCTGATTATTCCTGTCCTGGAATTTGGAAAGATGCCAGTCTGCCTAAAGAATACGGAGGTAGATTGACTAAATAGCTTCCTGGATCTTTAAAAATGTGCAGCTCCTAATCTCTTGCTAATACTCTTGCTCTGAAAACTCAACGTTGGAAATCTTGGAAATCTCGGGTTGTCGGGTTGGTGTAAGAAATACAGCAGATTTACCTGGGAAAAGATTTGGTTATAATGTTCTATCCTGGGACGGAAGGATTGAGAAAAGTTAGGCCTCCTGCCCCGAGTCCTTATTTTGCACCTTTGCAAATTCGGATAGTCTTCAATTACGACCGCAAGTAATTTCTATTGCTAAGCGAGACATTTGTTAAGTGAATTTTGCCCCATTTTACGACATTTTTGCCACATTTGTTAAGTGAACCTCTTCAGTCTTTAATTTAGTAACACGTTTGCTAAGTGAATCTGGCTTCCCCATTGAGCCTCGGGGTGCAGTGGTTAGGGTGAAGTACTGCAGGCTACTTCTACTGACTGACAGTTTGGCAGTTCAAATCTCACCAGGCTTAAGGTTGACTCAGACATCCATCCTTCCGAGATGGATAAAATGAGGACCCAAATTGTTGGGGGCAATATGCTGACTCTGTAAACTGCTTAGAGAGGGCTATAAAGCACTGTGAAACGGTATATAAGTCTAAGCACTATTGCTAACTCTGCCCACTGCCAGAAGTTCAATCCTGACTGACTCAAGGTTGACTCAGCTTTCCATCCTTCTGAGGTGGGTAAAATAAGGACCCAAATTGTTGGGAGCAAATATCTTGACTATAAATTGCTTAGAGAAGGCTGTAAAGCATTGTGAAGCGGTATATAAAATCTAAGTGCTATTGCTATTAACTTTGCAAAAAGTGATCACATGACCCCAGGACACTGCAACTGTCATAAATACATGCCAATTGCCAGGCGTCTGAATTTTGATCAGGTGACCATGGGGATGTGGTAAGTGTGAAAAAATGGTCATAAGTCACTTTTAAAAGTGCTGTTGTAACTTCGAATGGTCATTAAATGGTTGTAAATTGAGGACTACTCTGTAATCTGAGTCTCTATTTTGCACCAAAGATGATCCTGGAAACTCAGGAATAGAGAATAAAGAAACCAACATTGTTCTTGATAGCATTTTTTTTTTTTTGCATTTTTCTTGAACTAGATAGAAGATTTGATGTAGGGTTTAACTTTAGCCAGTCAAAAATAGCAATGAAACTGTCTTGTTTGTAGAAATAGGACTGGGATGAGAACCATGCATGTTTGCATAATGAATGTATTTTAAATTTTAGAAGCTGTTTGCGTTATTTTAATTCTTTATTCATTTATTTCTTTATTCTCCGAAGCACCTGAGGGCAAGACAAGAAGTAAAGGGTGGAAGATCATTAAAGAGAGATTTGATCTAGAACTAAGGAGAAATTTCCTGATGAGAACTGTTAATCAGTGGAATGGCTTGCCTCTGGAAATTGTGGGTGCTCCATTGCTGTAGGTTTTTAAGAAGTTTGGATAGCCATTTGTCTGAAATGGGATAGGGTCTCCTAGTTGAGCAGTGGGTTGGATTAGAAGACCTCCAAGGTCCTTTACAACCCCATTATTCTGTGTTTAATGTTCTCTGACCTGGAGGAAAAGTGGTTTCTTCCTTGACATCTTCAGGGTGGTCTTTTAGTGCAGAAAAGTTCAAATCTCTACCATCTGGCAGGCGGAAGGATAAATAGGCTGAAAAACAGCTTCTATCCCAGGGCAGTAGCTTTTTCAATTCTACTGTATAGTGCAGTGTTGGTGCAGAGTCAGGGGTTTTCGGTTCATTGTGTGGAGTGTGAAGGATGTGTGTTTGTGTTTATTTTCATGGTTATGGTCATGATGTGCACTGAAGATGGTGTTTGATTTCATTGTACCTTATGCCACCAGACTTGAAATTCTAGAACTAGAAAACCTTGAATTACGCCGTCTTCGGTCTGATTTAAGCATGGTATATAAAATCATACATTGCAATGACTTACCTGTCAATGAATACTTCAGCTTCAACCATAACAACACAAGAGCACACAATAGATACAAACTCAAAGTTAACCGCACCAAACTTGATTGCAGGAAATACGACTTCAGCAATAGAGTGGTCAATGTCTGGAATATTCTACCCGACTCTGTAGTTTCTTCCCCAAACCCCAAAAACTTTAAACTTAGACTGTCTACTATTGACCTCACCCCTTTCCTAAGAGGTCTGTAGGGGACGTGCATAAGCGCACCAACGTGCCTACCGTCCCTGTCCTATTGTTTCTCTTATTCTTCTTTTATTTTTCTTATATGTACCCATTTCATGTATTCACAACTATGTATACACTTATTATCTTGTAAACAATTGGCAAATCAAATAAATAAATAAATAAATTGTACGAGGTGCAATGAAACGAAATTAAACTAACTAAATCCTGCTCGCTCCTTACTTGAAGCGGTCCAAATAGTTCAACTGACGACTTCCAACTAGTTGCGTAGCAATGATGACTGTAGACTTGGATGCTCCTAAACTTCATTGGCTCTTTTCTGTTGTCTGTCTAGGGAATGTTCCACGCGCTAAGTGGGATCCACAAAGAACATGGTGTGTTAGGACTGTGGCGTGGAGCCATTTCGTCCGTGCCCCGAGTCATGGTGGGTTCATCCACGCAGCTGTCTACCTTCTCCTTTTCCAAACAGTTTTTCAACAACCTCGAGGTATGATGGTTTCCTTTGCTTGTTTGAAAAACTACAGGCATTACAATAGAAAACTTGCATTTGGTATGGTTGGTGTATTGTCTGATGATCCTACCTGATAGGATGTGATGATATCTAACAAAATGAAATTTAAGGTAGATAAAAGTATAGCCTTACACTTAGGCAAGAAAAAACAAAAGTACTCACATAGACTGGGTGAAACCAGGCTTAATAGCAGTAACTGTGAGAGGGATGTTAGAGTCTTAGTGGGCAAGCAATTAAATATGAGCCAGCAGTATGCGGCGGCAGCCAAAAAAGCCAATGCAATCCTAAGTTGCAGAGAGATACAATAATCAAGATCAAGTGAGGTACTAATACCACTCTATAAAGCCACACTTGGAATCCTGCATCTAGTTTTGGTCGCCACAATGTAAACAAGATGTTGAGACTAGAAAAAGTGCAGAAAAGAGCAACCAGGATGATTAGGGGACTGGAGACTAAAACATACAATGAACGGTTGCAGGAACTGGGCATGGCCAGTCTAGTAAAGAGAAGGACCAGGGGAGACATGATAGCAGTCTTCCAATATTTGAGGGGCTGCCACAGAGAGAAGGGGGGGGTCAAGCTATTTTCAAAGTACCTGAACTGAAGGCCAGACAAGGAATAATGGATGGAAACTGGTCAAGAAAAGATTCAACCTGGAAACGAGGAGAAATTTTCTGACAGTAAAAATAATCAACCAATGGAAGAGTTTCCCTTCAGAAGTTGTGGGAGTTCTATCATTGGAAGCTTTCAAGAAGAGACTGAACTGCCATCTGTCATAAATGGTGTAGGGTCTACTTGGGTGGGGGAGTTGGACTAGATGACCTACAAGGTCCCTTCCAATTCTGTTAAACTGCAAATCTTAGACATACACCTCTGATCCAAGAGAGAAGTAAAATTGGGATATGCATTTGATTTTGATCTAGTCATTAAGGCACCAAGCTGGAAACCGTGAGTTCCAGTTCTGATTTAGGAATAAAATCCGGCTGGGTGACCTTGGGCCAATGGCCAGGAGACTGTGGGTTCTAGTTCCACTTTAGGGACAAAAGCCAGCTATGTGACTTTGAGTCAGTCATTCTCTCTCTTAGCTCAGCTCACCTCACACAGAATTGTTGTATGGAGGAAAATAGGAGGAGGAAGCAGTATTAGGTATGTTCATTGCCTTGAGTTTATTTCTTTATAAAAAATTATAAAGGCAGGACAAAACTAAACTAAACTAAATAAAAATTTTGAGCAATACCCAAATATACTCTGTTTATTTGCCAAATTCAAGGACACTTCCTCCTTATTCTTTCCAACTCTTGAGTATTAAATGTGTTTCTAATCCAATGGCTATTAATACAGCATCAGAGCTTAAGAAGATGGATTGGTAGCTATTTTTTTTTCTGCATGCATGCATCCATGGCATCAACTTACTCTTTATTCCAAGGGGAGCTGCAAATTTAAATTTAGGTTGGTTGTGGCAGAAGAGGTAAAATATAAATGGGGCTTTATGTGAGTCCAAACTGCCAATTTTCAGGCAGAATCCAGCGGAGAATAAAGAATAGTACAAAACAGAAGATAGGATAGAATAGAATAGAATAGAAAATATGAAATGTAGTAGAGTGCAATGGAATGGAATAGGGTAGAAAAGAAAAGAAAATATGAAATAGAATGCAATGGAGTACAATCGGATGGGATGGGATAGGATAGAATAGAATAGAATAGAATAGGAAAGGGAATAGAATAGAATAGAGTAGAATAGGAATAGAAATAGAGTAGAGTGAAATAGAATAGAATAGAATAGAATAGAATAGAATAGAATAGAATAGAAATAGGTTTGAGAATCTCAGTCCTAAGGCATAATAACATTCTGTACTTCTAGGGTATGAAACTAGTCATGGTAGGTTTATGGAAGAGTTATGGTTTATTTGGTACAGCATGAGTAAAGCCAAGTGGGAACAGAATGCTGGAATGTTTTTGCCTCACTTAATGGAGATTCTGCATGGGCTCTTTAAGTTCACAAAAAAGGGTAGTGAAATCATAGAAGCTGCTTCCAGCAAAGATAGTGCACTTAGTCATCAGTAACTGATTTAAACACCTCTGGGATAAACACGTTTCTATCATCCAGCAAAAAATACAAAGATAATAATCATAAAATGAACAAAATAAAAAGCAATAATGAAAAACAAGAAATGAATGAATTAAAACTAAAACAAACAAAAATCTCAGGGCAGACTTGATGGTCCATGGTGTCCTTTTGTCCCACTGGGTTTT